CGTGTTTGGTTTCCACCTCCTCTGATTCAGCGTCGTGTTTGGTTTCCACCTCCTCTGATTTAGCGGGCCAGGGTTGGCCCGCGGGCCATATGTTTGACACCCCTGCTCTAAACCATCAGCAGAACGGTTCTGTGTGTGTGTTTTATTCTCTGTTTCTGCCTCTGAAGGAGTTCAAGGAGCTTTGGCCCAAACTGGCGGTGGTGGTGGACGGCGGACCAATCGGAGACCAGTGTCGTCTTGGCTCCACGGTGGTCGACCTATCAGTGCTCGGAAAATATAAAATCATCAGACCTGGTTGGTAAGTTGATTTCCAATCTGGAGAACTGCACGGTTCTCCAGTCCAGGACTGGGTCACATTTCCCCGTATCCACCAATCAGCTCCTGGGCTGGAGAGCTTTTCAAGATGAAGCTACACCTGCCTAAAACTTTTGCACTGAATATTCATTAAGAAACTGAGACAAATGTTTTTTTGTTTTTTTTTCTCTTTTTTCCCCCAGTGCTCGTTCGTCTACAGTCGATGTTCTGGAACACAAACATGGGCTGTCAGAGAACTCTGACCTTTGACCTCTCCACACCTCAACAACACACACTGAGGCGCACAAAAAAAAAGACCAAAATTCAGGAAGTTTGACTCCAGTTGACAGACTAAGGCTGCGTTTAGGTCAGAGATTGCTTTTTTTTTTTTTTTATTTGTTACAGACAACAAGGTTATAAAATGTTCTGATGTCTGAGAACGAGGTTCTTTGATTTAGATTTTTTTTTTAAAAGTTTGGTTTTGTTTTGTTATTTAAAGTTTGGTTTTGGGGTTTTGTCGTCGTGTTGGAACTATTTTTATTGAACTTGCTCCGGGGTTCGTCAGAGACGTCCAGCTCTGGACACGGAACCAGAAGACGTTCTGTGGACGTGGTTAACGGTTTGATTCCTAACACCAAAGCCTGGTCAGATCCAGGACAGTACACAGTCTTAGTGGATCGAGTACTTTCCTAATCAGGACGATGGTGGCGCTGTAGAGCGTCCAGTGTGTAAACATCACAGAACTGATCATCGAACACTATCACGAAAAAGGAAAACAATAAAATGATTATTTTATCTTTATTTTATTCCTGTATTAACAAAGTCTCATAGAATTATCAAATACAGTACTGTAAAAGCCAGTGTTTATAAAAAGGTGGGTCGGGGTCCATATATGGGTCAGAGGGAGTGACTCATAGATATATATGGGTCAGAGGGAGTGACTCATAGATGTACATGTGTGATTTTTATTTTTTATTTTCAGTGATTCTTTAAGGCTTTTTTCCATGTGATGTTAAAAAGTGTAAACAACAGTCAGGTGTTTTAGTGACTCCTGGTGGTGGCAACTTCTTCAGGGTTTTTAAGGTGAATGTGATTTTTCTTCATCATAAATTAAAGTAATATTTGAATTCACATCTGGCCGTGTACGTGAATGAATATAAATATTCTAGAAATGACCACTGGACCATGGACCCAGGACCATGTGACCGTATTATTTGAATATATTCAGTCTCGTAGCGCTGCTGTCAAATGAGGTCAAAGTCCAAGGAGACAGAAGAACTGCCTTCAGCTTCAGAATAAAAAACAATTACATTTCCAGTGAAGCCCTGCCTGTAGGGGGCAGTAAATTCAGCACCACCTACTACATCCACAAGGGGACACCGGACATCAGTAGATTTCTCGGTTTCTCCGTCTCATTTCTCCCTGGTTCAAACATGACTTTGTTGCTGTTATTTTTATTGATGTATGTACGTACAGTGCAACACTGCCCCCGAAATATCCGGTGGTACTACATCGAGCCACTGAGCAACAGTTTTTTTTGACTACATCGAGCCACTGAGCAACAGTTTGTTATTTTTTTATTTTTTTTTAGAAAAAAGTTCCTTATTTTGCCATCATCGTTCACCGTCCTCGCTGCTCGTCTTGTCTTCCTGAACTCGACCAGCGCTCACATGAGCCACCGCTCCTTCTCCTTGTTGAACTGCTCCGCCCACCGTCGGGTCAGCTCCAGGTAATGGTCAGGTCCGTGCGGCTGGTAGTCCAAGTACAGACGGCTGACGGTTTTCTTAGGGACCGCCCTCTCTATCTGCGTCCCCTCGTGCCATTCGTTGAAGGACGTGATGGTGACGATCTCAGGCCTGGTGTCCAGCGCCGCCTGCAGGGCGGTCTCGTAATAGCGTCCATTCACGCGATTGCGGGTGTTGTGGTTGTTCCAGGGTCGGATGCTGGTGTCGATGTAGCCGGGCCCCACGCTGGGGATGAAGAGGAGGTCGTTGCTGTTGCAGAAGGCCCTCAGGTCCCCCCAGTTCTGGTGGGAGGAGCCGTAGGAGAACCCGTTGGAGGCAAAATACGTGTACATCCCGTCGAAGCCGGCGGCCAGGATGTCGTGCTTGTGTCGCTCCTCCACCATCAAGGCGATGAAGATGGAGTCGTGAGCGGAAGTGCGCAGACTGTGAGAGCCTGTAGGGGTCAGAAGTTCAGCCCAGGACTCTGGGGGAGTTAGGTAGGAGTCGTAGATGTAGAAGAGAGGAAGACTCCGCCCAGTGGTGGAGGTGAACCTGTAGAAGGCTCCATGGTCTCCATACCTTTGGAGGAGGAGAGTACGAAGTGTTCATATGGTACTAGTAACTTCAACTAGGAAACAGGAAATGCACTGCTAACATGGCGCTAAGTGTTAGCATGTCTTTATTCAGCTTTATTCAGCATTATGTGCTCAACCGCAGCTAACATGCTGCTAATTTGCTAATTAGCACACTGCTACATGTTAAATTCTAATATCCAATGAATGTTCAGTAACCAGCCGGAATATTTTAAACCCTGATGGAACGGGGCTATAAATATGTAGCGCCATCTACAGGACAGGTTTGGGAACACGCTAAACAGAAAAATTCAAATTCCACTCTAACGTTCCAGCGTGACCTGACGTGACCTGACGTGACCTGACGTTCCCACCTGTCGATGATGTACTTCACGTTGTCATGAACGCTCTGCTCGTTCCTTCCTCTGTATGGCTGAAGGTGAAATGCAACCTGGGAAAACAAAAGTAAGTCATCAACTAAAAAACAACACGTCCATAACGACCATAACAATATATGACCCTACCTGGGAAAACAAAAGTAAGTCATCAACCGTTTCATTCTTGAAACGTGTCGCTACAAGACGGCCATGATGATATTAAACGACTAAAAAACAACACGTCCATAATGACCATAACAATATATGAGCCTGATGATTTTTTTTATTAAATGGATTCCCCTGACTACCACTAGAGGGAGCACCACACGTATGCATGCCATAGTTTGACAACCACTGCTTCAAATCCCATTTTCTTTTATTTTGCAGATAGAAAAAAAAACCCATTAAACTATAATAGGATCCTGGCTGTGAGTGATGACGTCATACAAAGGCCCCACAGGCGGAACACGGAACTTCCACTGACACGTAAGTACACTGAGTGTTGCATATTTCAGGAGACACAGCAGGAGACTGTGTGACTCTGAATTATGTATGACTGAAGTGAAAGCTATTCTCCTCTAGTGGGCGCTGCACACTGAAGGGTTAACAATGTGAGAGAAACTGACTTTTAAAAAATATATATATAAATAAAAAAAAGGAGTAAACGGTAAAACTGAAATGGACTGTCGTCACTGTGACCAACATGAAGGGCACGGACCAGGTGAGTCCGTGTGAGTAGTTCAATGTCAAAAACTTTCTGGGACAAATGTGTCCATGTCACCGGGGACGTGGACGCCTGGATCACCTTGAGGTGGCGTCTGTGTGCGGCGTCCAGTACGGCTGGGACCACGTCCTCCGCAGGTTCTCCGTCGCCCTCAGCCAGACCAGGAGGATACCAGGACAGAACCAGAACTCCTGCAGGTGAACAGGAAGTCACGGGAGTGGTCAGAACATGTCGAGAACAAACGGGTTCTACAGGGTTCTACAGGGTTCTACAGGGTCTGGACCCGTTCACCGACGCGTGTCCGTCAGCAGACGTGGGACCAGTTCCAGCTGGTCTCTTTGTCAGGGGACACCAGGATCAGGTGTTGGCTCCTGAGGTACCAGCTGTTAGCTGACACCAGTCCTCAGGACTGAAAGAACCGATGATTTAACGCCTTCATCCACGGTCGTTTATGTCACTGCTGGATGACGCTTTATATGACAGTAGTTCAACTACTACTACGTCATGGTGTCACAGAAAAAAAAGTTTGTGTTAAAAGACAAATAAATGAATAATGTGACGTCAAACATGAATCATTCAGAGGGTTTTATCTATAGAGAGAGAGACAGAGAAGAGAGGTGGAGAGAGAGAGAGCTGGGCTCTGTGTGTTGGCTGGGGAGCTGTCCAGTTGATATGTGGTGCTGAAGCCCAGTCTTTGCACTCAAGGCAACTGTATTTATATATATATATATATACAGATAGATACTGTAGTACAGTAAGTAGTAGTAGTAGTAAATTCTAGTAATATTCGTGTAGAAATACTTGACTGTATGTAGTATTTTCCTGTGTACTATGCCTTGTCAAACATACGGCAGTAGTACATGTAAAGTACTACCACTACACTACTGTCCACAAACATGTACACTACAAGTCTGGAATCGACCCGACAACCCCTGATTGTAGGACAACGGCACTGCCCACCTTACCCCCCTCCAGAGTGTCTGTTTCTGCCCCACATACAGACCCTGAGACCGGGACTGTGGTCCGGTCCGGGTCCCAGTTCTCTACCTGCTCCAGAGGCTTCGATCTGTTGCATGTGAGAGTCCAACACGTCCGGGTCCCTGGAGCTGTACGGACTGAGTTCGGGGTAGAAACTGGATCCGATGTCTTCCGGCGGCACGTGTCTTCCTCTGGGGTAGCTGGGGGCGATTTTGGGGTCCCAGTGCGGTTCCAGAGCGTGGTCCCAGTGGATGTACTTCCCGTCCGTGGGCGGATTGCCGTAGAACGCGAAGTAGAAAATATGAACGTCGTAAAAGATCGCCGAGTTCGAGGCAGCGGTTCTGTTGACGCCGCCGGCCCCGTGGCCACGACTCGAGGAGGTGGCGTCACAAGACCCGGAACACCGGTCCATCCTTGCTCCGATGGGCAGCGGCTCCGAGCCCAGCGGCGACTGGGAGAGGACGTCGGCGGTTCTTAGAGTTCTCAGTACCATCATGGTTCCGAAGATGAAAACTGTGAATAGAAGCAGAGCGGTGCAGGTTCTCCTCCGGAACCGAGCCATGGTCGAGCCTGAACAGGACGACGACGTGAAGGAGAGCGGAGGAACAAACAGCCCGCTGGGCGGTGTGTGTATGTATATATATGTGTGTGTATCTGGTTGTGTGCTCGTGTGCGCTCATGCGCGTGCACCGTCGTGCCCGACTCAGTGTTTCTGTTTCAAGACACGCCTTTTCTTTCTGTTTCCAGACACGCCTTTTCTTTCTTTTTTTTTTTTAAAGTCATTTCATGTTTACGGTCTAATCAACACGTGTAATACACATCAAGACAGAAGTCTTCAACAAGGGGCTCGTGGCCCCTGTGGGGTCCACCGAGTTTCTGTGTGCGGCCGCAAGAAAAATTCCCAAAATAGAAATGTCTTGTTTGTGTTGTATCAAATAGGTCAACTGAATTATTTACTAATATAAATATATGATTTGATGCAGTTGACAGACAACACTGTTATTAGCATCTGACAAAGTAGCATTAGCTTTATCACAACCTATACAATATGAATATTATATTATTATATTATATGTTTAGTATTTTTTAACTAAAGGGTTATAATGGTTGTTTTAATTTCTATATTATCATGATATATATTTGATTTGAACTATTTTATTGTTTATAAAATGCTAAATTATTTTTAAGAATAGCATATAAAAATATTACGTACTGTATTATTTATACGTTTAAGTATTTAATGCAAAACCAGGCAGAATTGTACATAACATATATATAACAGGTCACTGACTTTCTGTTTCTGTTTCTGTAAATGATGTAGCTGCTGTTTACCCTGTACCTTTTGGCTTAGTCCATGTAAAGCACAGTTTAATGAGACTATACTGCCCTCTAGTGGCTATTCTATGAATGACAGGAATTGGCGTTGCAATCGGATAGAGAGGGACTTTAATTTCTCTCCGGTCAGTGACTCCCCCTCCCTCCCCCTCCCCCCGGCCCCCAGTCTAGGGTTATATATAAAGTCACTTTGTTATTTTATTTTCACTGAGTCATATTTTTATTTAAACTTTAGACGAGTCCAAAACCAGCTGCGTTGTTGTTCTGTGACTGATTTCTGATCATCAAATTCAGACCATTTTGAATTTTCAGAGTCGCTATAGAAACCCTGTGTGACGTCACTTGTATCCTGCGTCTGTAAGGAAAGTAGATCCGGCGGTTACCTCAGGATTTTGACGAATAATAATAATAATAAAAAGAAATAAAAATATTCGCCTTAAAATGAATAGAAACTTCTGTTTATTTTTTTGTTCCGACTGTAAAAAGATTCATAACTGACAACAACAACAGAACACGAATGTGTACGTAACGTAACGTAACGTGCGTAACGTAGCGCGCTTGTAACAAAAAAGAGAAAATATTAATATCAATATATCGGTTTGGTAATGCATCGAAATTAAACTTACATTTTTTTAGTATGGAATTTACTCAGTGAGAACTATTTTCCATATGAAAACTTTATTATTCAAGTGACTG